GTTGTTTTGAGTCTGGTTGTTCTTTGCGTCCGTTTCATGTATGTTTGTAAAGTCCCCCGCGACACAGGATATATTCTTAATGCGGGAGTTGTCTTTTCAAAGCAATAATAATAATAATAATAAGAATACAATTATGAGCGAATAAACCGTACCGGTTTATTAGCTGTGCAGACGAATTGCACTATCTTCTGACCTGTATTTTCATAGACCACAGTTCAATTGTGCACTATCTGAGAAATCATCACGATGCTTAACCAGAAAGCACTCGGAGAAACTGAGAGAAATGATAAAATGTATTTTGAGGAATGCTCCTAACTTCAGACATTTGTCCCAGTTACATCCGTTAGGAAATATTCTACCCAGCAATATTCGTAGTGCTAGTCCTATTTCGCTATGTGACGATAAATCTTACTTGGTTTGATTATTAGTGTTAACAAAGTTTCTGTAATTGTAGTTCTCATAGAGTAATGTCTCAGATGATAGTATTCATATTTGTTCGAATTTTGGAATTAAATTAAGTGCCAAAATCCGACTCCTTTTGGACGTAACATCATCCGTTTTTATTTTATACAATAATATACGTTTTGGCATTTTTAAAGGAAATATTTATTTCATTTTACAGGAACATAGCCTATTGACGTTCAAAAACTTAAATATTCTTTTATAAAGTCATTTTAAATTTACATGTTGTATATAATTTCATATTGAAATCCATCTATATTGCTAAATGCATACTAGCTAGTATTTGATATGTTCATGCAATAAGCTGCTTGTCAGTTATATTGATTTCGTCAAACGTTTAGATTATTGTGAACATCAAAGCAATGGCTGCTCCGCTGCTATTAATATTATTATATTCAATAGCTATTGGTTGGCTTTGAGCGAGTTATAACATACCTTTTAATTTAGTGTTTCATTTTGGTTCATTTCTATTGTAATGGCAACTAATAATACGTATTAATTATCACTTATTACACATATATATAAAAAGAACAACATATTGCGGTCATACGCAATATGTTGCATAAATACACACAAAGTTTTACGTATCTGCGGGCGATATTATAGTTAAATTACATTATTTTTAATGTCAACTGTCCCTTACGGACTTACGGACCCTAAGTCACAATAGTTACACAATAATAAAAAGCTATGGAAAGGGAATCATTTTTTTAAATTCATAATGGTATATACATGTTTTTGGTTGTATATATTTAATCCTGTATATAATGTATAAGAGCAAGTATCACGGTGCTGAAAGGACAGATTTGACGGTCAAACAAGTCAGAAACGAGAGATCCATTAGTAGTAATGGATTGTCACAATGCACAGTATTCGTGCGCCAATCACGACCGCCTGAGGCTTAATTTGTGCTGACAATGAGGAGGGTATTAGTCTTGGGTGTATTACCCGTCTATCTCGAATATAAATCGCTCTAATGATCTATATCAAAATAAGAATATAATATTGTGTGTGTTTAAAAGGGGACAGTGGGAATGAAACGCTGAGTAAAAATTTTAATAAATGTTTTTATTGTTTTTTTTTAATATAATTGATTCAATAAGTAAGAGATTGCCACAATGTAATGATGTTATAATGTTGGGTGTTTTATTTAAAATCATTTTGTGCATATCAGTTAATAGCATTATGAAATCGAATTTTTGATTGTTTATGTTATAATTGTATATAAAGTGTTGTACATATATGTTGTATTTAAAGTAAAAATTGGTTTAATTTGCTAAGTCAATATACATTAAAGTACCCAATGCAGTTCGCGTATGTGAAAGTCTGATTAGTCAGGAACTACCGCTGTAGAGATTACGGACAGTTTTTTTTTATCCAACTAATTCAGTAAACAAATATCCAGTTGTACGATAATGTAGGCAGTAATTGCCCAAACTACTCGCAACACCATTGGTGTTACTCCTTTGTTTAGAACAGAAGCTGTAGTTCTGGGGGAAGATTTCAAGCTCTAACCTACAAGAGGTTACAGGTTGGAGATACTTTCTAACTCAAGGCAACCTGTGCTGTGAATCTGTTTCAATGTTTCACCGCTAACTGCAATAAATTTATCTCCATCCATATGTAAAAGTTTGAAAAACTTGTATTTTGCGGGCCAACAGTTATGAATCGTGATATAGTGTTGTACATAAAGACTCATGTAACAGGTTGTTACAAACAGTTCCTATATATCTCATGTCTCACGGGCCATGAAACTGCAAAGTTTCGCCCTTATCGAGCAACTCGCGGATGTCATTGCACGAAACACATCAATCTCAAAACGTTACCTCGCTGAGCCGACCCCCAACCAGCTATTTATCTTAATGTTTTAAAGCCACATCCATCAATCTACGGGCCAAAGACGTATCATTAGAAACATATTTATTAAAGTTGTTTTTTTCTTTCTTGAAAGACTATATCTATAAATAGAATTCATGTCGAGATAAATTTAAATCTACAAAATTAAAATATACATCACTATGACAGTTTTTATGGTATAGGGAGCTTACGAGCGGGCGGGTCACCTGATGGTAAGTGACTACCACCGCACATGAACACCTGCGTCTCCAGAGTCTTAAGTAGGTCTTCCTCAACCTTACTCGATGAAGAACAGTGAAAAAAATAATCTTAACACCGGTATTCCGTGATGCCTCACTCACTCCGTTCGAGCCGGCAAAGCTTGGCTCTCAAAACACTTAATATTCCAATAAACAAACCAAATTGGCAAAGTCGAAGCGCGCTATTTACTTTTGTTTCAACTCATTGCACTCTACCTACTCTCATGGAGTAACTCTTCAGCACGATAAGGTTGCCTCCACGCTTTGTCATGATTTGCATCTAGTATAGAGCTACGCTCATAAATAGATTCCATGTAAATTAATTGCAATTTATCTGGAACCAAAGGATGGCGTTTGTCTTATATAACGTAGTTGGGAACGTGGGAATATTAATGCAATTAACCTCTGCTCTGACTATTACATGTGTCTTCATAAAATACTCATTGTGCCCATAAGATTCATTCACTTTGAGTTTAACTTTCCATTTTACATATTTGTATGTAATTAAGGATTTTGTAGTAGTAAAATTTACAGGGACAACCATGGTTCAGCACATAAAAGTGGGGCGGGTGAGCAAGGCCCGAACCATTTCATAAACCCAAACTCAAAATATCTTAATTCATAAAAATTATAAAATTGTTTGAAATCGTCTCTTTCGGAGACTCTAAAGTCTTAGATCAACACGCACAATAGCAAAAATCTATGTTTTGTCAAATATTTAGCAAAATAAATATATACGTATCGAAAATCTGTTATATACCTGTGTCGATCTACAACCGCCCGTTTCCTTACAGAAGAAAGAGCAAACAAACTCACGGCATAACTCTAGGACACTCAAAGGGCGGCATTGTATTTGTATCGCTTGAGTCGCATGCCCATGTATGTAATTACGTATTTTATGTAAATATTTTTTTCTAGAAAGATAGTTTTTGCAATACGCAGTATAGTATATTTTTAACCGACTTCGAAAAGAAGGAGGTTACCAATTGGGATGTATATATATTATTTTTTATGTATGTTCGGGCAAAACTCCGTCATATATAGACGGGTTTTCAAAATTCTTTTTTTCTTGGAAAGGGGGTTATTTCGAAAAGGGCCTATTTCAATTTCATATAGATCTGATGATGAGACAACGGAACTCTTGAAAAAAAGGAAAGCAAATCAACCGCAGTTGCTGCTACGTTTTTAGTGTTCTTTCTTAGTATTGTTTGATTGAAGACGGTTCAACTTTTTTTTTAAAAGGATTTATCATGTTAGGTATTGAAATTACAATGTCCGATAACTTTATCTCTTCTGTATGTTAAGGTGTACAAATAATATACAGATAAAACAATAGGCAGAATCATAAAAAATTGCCAAACGTTATGTAGGGCGCCTTGAGGCACGATGGACCGACGACTTGAGGAAAGTGGCTGGCAGCGGATGGATGCGGACTGACCAAGACCAGGATGGTTGGCACTCCTTAGGGGAGGTTTTCGTTCAGCAGTGGACGGCAATAGGTTGATGATGATGATGATATGAAATTATGATGTACTAAACAATTATAAATTATCTTATGTGTAATACACACACTACTCGCTTTTGCTTGTAGTTTTCTCACGTTATTTTAGATCAATTCACTAATACTTTTTTTCTAAGTTATGCTATGTCTTATTTTATATCCATTACAATAGGTGTGCATAGTTCCACGATAAACGGTTGATTGTTTAACTTGTAATCACTAATAAATCATTTATAAAAAAAGTTGAACCCACTTCAAAGAATTCTAACAAAGAGCACTAAAAAACCTAGCAGCTATCGCAGTTGATTTGCTGTAATTTTTTGAAAAGTTCCGTTGACTATATAAAATTTAAACGGGGCAATTTCGGAAAAAAAACCTTTTGAACAAAAAAGAATTTTGAAAATCTGTCTATATAGAGTTGGGTCCGAACATACATAAAAAATATATGAACATCCGAATTGATAACCTCCTTTTTGAAGTCGGTTAAAATTTTATAACTATAATATAAGAATAAAGTCAGAAGAAAGAAAGAATAAACTGAGTACCTCTCTTAGTACCTATATGTATATTCTGCGGTTAAGTGGGGAGTTGGTGTATGAATCGTATACACTCACTTTTCTTCATTATAGTGTACCATTGTACGAATACCTACTAAAAACTAAGTTCTAGTAAAAAGTTAGACTCATTAACGATACACATAAAGCTGAAAGTAAAGAATTTAGTAGGCTTGAAAAAGGATATTGTTATTTGTGAATCACTTTTAAAAAATTGACAACACTTTTATGCGGTCCTAAAAGCACGTTCTGAATATTATAGTGGACTCATCGCAACTACGAAGAAAACAATTTAAATGAAATAAAAGTTATTTGCACCCTATGCTTTTTATGCGCTGGAGCGCTTTCAAGCGTGTTAGTATCACACACTGTTCACGCCACGCTTACCATTATCGTGGTCTGGGAGCGGTAGACTGTCGGAAGCATCTGAGGCTAGAGCTAGATCTGGTGACGTGGACCCTAACAAAGCTGTAAGCCCATCGTGTTCACCATCTGTGGAAATAATGTTTATTGTACTTAATATATAAATAGTCATTTTTTTGAACAATAATTGCTTGTATTTTGTTCACTGTTTTCACGTTAATTTGTCTAATTTGACGTTAATTTTCCGTACATATAATATTTATAAGTGGACTTTTGTCTTTGCCCACAACTTAAACAGAACAATTAATGTAGATGAATCTCAGTTTTATTTTACAAACCACTTGCTGTGGAATCAAGTTTAAAGCATCAGACTTATAGAGAAGTAAAAGTAAAGTTCTAATCCTACCCACTCCCAACCTTAATGAGCATATACGTCACAGGATTATATTCGCATTTGATTTATTAGAGCGGCTAATAAAAACACAAGTAATATTTTAGTCCTACACAAATTCTATGAAGAGATTAAGAAAATGAATAAACAAAAAGATATCGCTTGCTTTGTTGTTGCGTTAAAAAACATACAAACGATCTCATCTTGTAATACTTAGTAGTTTTTGTGTTTGAAAGCGTGACCATACGACCGTAAGTCCAATGCCGTTTTATGCATCCTTTTATCACCCTTTTGGTAGTGAAAAAGGCAGTGTACATCAGCTACTTCTTTAAATCCCTAACCACCCATTCTTCAGCCGGTAGGTTGGGTGTTACTCACACTATTCAACTATGGACAGGGATATTGACAGTAGTATAAACGTTTATGAATCGCTTTCGAATTTTCAAGATACGAGAGTAATGAGCAACTCTTCATTAGAAGAAAAACAAAACAGACGTTAAGTGTATCACTGTTTAATAGCTTAAGCTTTTGCTTGCAAGGTCTTAAACATTCTTTTTCATATTTCTCTGTCTCTATCTCTCTTTCCTACTCTGTCGATATCTAGTAAGCCAAGCTATGATGTATATGGTAGTTGGAGTACAATTTTTTTTTTGTAATGGAGTAATTAGATGTATTTCTTAGATTAAGTAACAATGTTACAACTGTAAGTTATAAATAAGTACATTAGAAAATTATAAAAGCCAGAAAAATAACAAGTCTGTACATTATAAATGAAACTTGTCTTTTTAACTTCAACTGCATACAAATTAATTAGTTTCAAGAATAGTTACGCCGCCATACCCCGATGACCCATACAAACTCGATGCAATTTAATGAAGGTATCTGATCTTGTAATAACTGTTTCAAGACAGTTTGCTTGTCTGAAAGTACTGAGAACGTACCAAAGAGCTCTCAAAACTTGTACAGCTTCGAATCCATATAAATTATTTATGCCAGTAGAGCAATTTCCTTATTTCCTGATGTACGCCGCGTTCCCTAATTACGTGGGTTTTGAGTACCTCTTAGATGTCATACTTGGTTCTCTATTAACGCAAGTACTGTTTAATTCAGTTGTAATTTAATATTTTTAAGTGCTGTTATAGGAAATGAGCAAAGAAAAGTTGAAGCTCAAACACAATAGAGACCTACCCGTTCGGTATTTAAATTTTACTTTCTAATTGTTTGATTGTCACTTTTTGGAGGTAGCTAATTTAAATTTAGAATAAATTGCGTGCATGAAAGTTTAGGAGTGGAAAAGAGATTTTTAGCATATGCTGGCAACAAAACAATTTAGTATTAGTAAGTAATAAAGAATCGTATCAAATTTCATTCAATCAAATCGCCTTTAATTTAGTAATACATAGGCGGTAAAAAAGGTTAAAGTTTCTGTAGATACGTCGCTGTTATCATCTTGTTTATTCACGGCCAAATGTGCGACATAATAAAACGCCAACTGACGCGGGAAGTGTGCAATAAACGGCAGGTACTCGCAGCTTCAATTTCAGGAATATTTTTCTTCATGCAACGTAATTCTAAATGATGATTCGTACACACTATATGTTGTTTGTGAAACATATACATGTTCCAAATTTAAATATCGTGAAGCTCTTTTATGGTATAAAATTATACCCTAAGTTTCTCAGTAGCCTATCAGGTAGCGGGATTATAACTTGGAAAAGCAACTTTAATATCCCTTCTCGTACATATATATCTTACATTACGTACGTTTTTAATTTGCATGAATCATTTTCCCGGTATTTATTATCTTTTAACAGGCTTTAGTCCATTTTACTTAAAGATTTTGCTAAAACAATTTCTTCTTAAAATAGTGTTTCGTAGTCGGCGATCCTCTGCAGTATATAACAAAGCGTAATTGAGACTCGAGAAATGCTTCAAATTAGAAATTCATTGTCAGAAAACAACTCCAGTCGACAACAGAATAGTTGAACACAAGTGAATAGTTAGCGATATTTCGGTCGGAACGGTCAATATTAATTACAAAGTATGCCAACAGAGCCCGACGCTCGCACCAAGCCGACAAATTTATTCAGCTAAATTAAATGACACTAAGTAAATAGCGAGTGCAAATTGGTGGCAGTCTATTGTGGCTCAAGTGCCACCGAGCAGTTACTGGCCAAGTTTAGGCGGTAAGTCAAGCCGAGTACGGTATTACTTCATTTGCAACTTTATGGTACCGCATTTCCCTTCAGCGGTCGGGTGAGGGTTCCGCTCTTCAGCTTGTTTTATGAAAAAAGTCTGGGGCGGTTTTCTTAATATTATTATCCCGGGCCACCCCTCTTCTTTGTTCCAGATATAGTGAGGGGAAAATAGGCCGTTGATGCACGACTGGCATTTGTTATTGTATCATTGTTTCAGATAAAATGCTGACAACTATACCTACTTATATATTGGTGTTTCAATTGAGGAGATGAATTGAGAATGTGTAGCTAAATTATATTTATAACAAGTTCATAATAGCTTGACCTAAACCTAGAAATAATACAATACCAATCTAGCCCTGATTAATAAGAGGTATGCAAATCAAATCATTTTATTAGCATTATGCAAACAGGTATAAAGCTGCATAGTTTCAATTTGTTTTGTTTAGTTCATATACTGTTGTGTATTGACGCTTTAACAATTCATAGGGTGCGCCTTTGAATTGTTCAAGCGTCAATACACACAGTCACCGTCGTCTACGGTCGACCGGCCGCTTATGTCATTGAAGCATTGCCATAAGCGGCCGGTAATTCATTGAGAAATTATTAGTTACAAGCTTTTGCTATGTAAAAAGTATGTTTTGTATTTATAAAGTAACCTATGTTTTTCCTTAAGAATCAAAGTATCTTCATACTAAAGTTCATCTAAATCGGTTCAGCGGTTATTGATGGCAAATGCAAACTTCCACCATCGTAATTCACTTCTTTAAATAATGATTTCTGGGATAAAACTACCCTATGTCCTTTCCCAGGACCCACCCGCACGATCTCTCTATCATATTTTTTTAAATCAGGTCAGCGGTTTAAGTATGAAGAGGTAACAAACAGACAGACAGAAAGAAAGACAGACAGGCGGACACACTTTCGCATTTATAATATTAGTATGGATTGTTGCAATGAAAATTCAATGCCTTTAAATATAAAAATATCATAAATGTTGGTTTTTAAATACCTTGATATATAACACTTTTTCAACAAATGAACTCTAGAAATTTGTCATTAAAGCTGCGTACACAAAGTACGTGTTCTTTGAGGTGTAAAATATTACCAAGTGATGGCCGACTTAGCTTGTCACACTCTAATGAGGTTAAACGGTGTATGTTTGTAAGTACTTTGTACAAAGTCATGACCTTCACATTTAGGATCCTCTGAAATACCTACGCAACCGTTGCGTACTTTATAAATTTTTAGCATATCTGGAACAACAAAGCGTGTGTGGCACTCGCTGAAATATAACAGCGCCTTCAAACAACTTCGCAAAAAGAAAGATATAACATTTAATTGAGGTTTATTTATAACATACATTAAATAGTCGATACTCGTACAAAATTTTGTTAGATTCTATGTCATGTTGCGCAGTTTTTACTTGATGCCAAATTTAGTAATTTGGTAAAACATTACGGATTGCCTGTACTCTAATTAAAAAAAAAAACATGCGTACCAACTTGCCTGGGATAAGCCTCCTAACAATGCATTACATTGTTTGTAGTTACTTAGCAAATAATGTTTATTGTTTATAGTTTTATTTTTTATTATATTAATTGGAAATGTTTTATAATCACGGGTATGTTCATTTGTTGGGTTTCTAAAAAGCCTCAACTTTAGTCCCATATTTCTGCTTGATGGTTGATACCATCAAGTTTCAGCAATGTACTCGTATAGCTTCAAATTCGATTATTGAAATTTCAAAAGCAAAAATAAGTTAGAACTTCGCCGTCTCATAACTTGAACTTTGCGGTTTTTCTCACTTTATTAGAACGTCATGCAGTTCTCAACTTTTAACTTTAGGTTTTTTTCTGGCATCATTAAGTCCTCCGGAATACTTCGACTTCACTTAGCAAAGAAAATTCTGACGGTTATACCCCAACCATACTTTGGAATTAATAAAATACTTTATGAATAATCCATCACATTTTAAGTTCCAACAATTAGATAATAGTGTATTTTTGCTTATTAGCCTAAATCATGTTTGTTTTATCGTAGGTATACCTAGCTATACCTGGATATAGAGTACTTGTCATAGTTTTTGAATCTTGTAAAAAGGCTGTCAGCAACGTTAGATAAAAACATGAACTTAAAATGTGTCAATTTTGATAACCCTTTATACGAAAGATCAATCATCATTCAAGACAATAGAAATACGTAAAAGTAACCTAGGTGTTGTCACAATGGGTTTTTATATAGTTATCACTTGATAAGCATTAATTCCTAATCACAGGATGTTAATCTATAGATTGAAGCTATTGTTTGTGATTGTTTTAGGAAGTTAGCTTGTATTAAACTTATTTTAAGCAGTTGTCTTTGTAATAACAATCTAATTACAGCACACTGAACACACGGAGTCAAATTGCACTTAGCTGTTTCTAATTTCGCTTTGTATTTTTTGCTTACTTTATTCGGATGTTTTTTCTTTGTTTAAGAAGAATGTCTGATATTGAACAGCGGAACACGTAATATTTTATGAGTTATTCTAAACGGAA